GGCAAGCATTCAAGAAACTCAACGAACCCAGGAAGGATAGATCTTAAAAGATAATCACCAAGACATATAACAATCAAGCTCTCCAAAATCAAAAATAAGTACAGAATCATTAAAGCAGCTAGGGAAAAGAGAAGTGTAACATACAAAGGCAAGCAAATCAGATTAAGCTTGGATCTCTCAACAGAAACCATGCAGGCATTGAAGGTAATGGGGAGACATATATAAAACCCTGAAAGAAAAAAACTGCCACCCAAGAATCTTCTAATCAGCAAAGCTGTCAATCAAATATGATGGTGTAATCAAAACATTCCAAGATAAACAGAAGCTAAGGGATTTTGCCAAAGCCAACCCTGCTATGAAAAATATCCTAAAGGAAGTTCTGTGGACTGAGACCCAACAAGAACAGACAACAACTAGAGAATGACAAGAGTTAAGAACAGAATAAAATGATAAGAACAGAGAATCTGGGAGGTCAGTCTATGATCAAAACAATTAAAATGTTAAAGAAGATAAACACAGAGGAACAGAGATTCTGGTGGTGGGAAGGTCAGGTAGATTACAGGATAAAATAGACTGTCTTAAATGTAGGGAAGAATTAATGGAATATTAGGTAACCACAACAGTGGGATTGGGGAGGGCAATACAAAAAGGGGGAGGAGGTGGAAGTACAAGATAGATAAGGGAACACTGAGATAGGTTTGCATGTCCTAAGTGGGACAGAGGTAGATAGTGATGCATGCTCAATCTTGGAACAACAGGACCCTGGGATACAGGGATCTAGGTATAGCTTCAAGAGGGAAAATAATAGTAAAATGCTTGACTGTCCTATAAATATTAGTTTCCCTTGCCTACAATTGTAAAATAGACACTTGAGTAGGATAGAAAGGAATGTTGGGAAACATGTTTTCAGAAAACTTGTAAGCCCATCTTCAGCCTATAACTGATTGGAATATCTAAAAGGGATTCTAGTACTTGCCCAGTGAAATAGGCCTCTTGCAAAGCCTTTGCAGAGTATAGGACCTTAGGTGGAATTCTGAGTCCCATCCAGAACCTTCTGAGGTGGGATGTTCCCACTAGAAAGGACAAGTAGACCAGCCTGAAACAGCTAGAGTGGCAGAAGATACTTCTTCAAAGAAAGATCATCAGGAAAAAAACAAAACAAAAATGTCAGCATGACTGGCTACTACAAGAATAAGCAAGCTGTTTGCCAGGAAGTCATCAAGGCAATCAGTCAAGTTCCTTCAGGACAAACTCCCCTTTAAGACTGAAACTCAAAGGGAACACACGAACAAGCATGTAAGCATGCTGCCAACTTCATTGGTCTGCTGGTGAGTGGAAGAGGGGGAAAGACAGCAATGAAGAAATGGGCTGAGTTCAACCACAGTCCATTGACTTCTACTGACCTGGAGATGAAAGAGAGAAGAGGAAGGGCTGGTTGGTCCAAAATGTGGTGAGACCTGAGGAGACTTGAGCCCATGGACAAGGACATGGCCACAGGGCTAGAGCTGAGAGTGAAGCATCCAGCTGATACAAAGTGAGGAACTCCCAAAATTGCAGACCAGTACCCATTTGGCCTAGCCTCAATGGCTCGATAATCAGAACTCGACTTGAGGAATATTACCCCCACCCAAAACATTTTTTTTTTTTTTTTAATAAAGGAAACAAGGGTAAATTGCTACAATTTGATGAACCTGACCTATACTCAGGTTACTCTAAATACCAACAGAAAGAGAAGGAGTCTTCACATCAAGTGTCAATGCTATCCCCTCTGCACAGGGCAAATAGGGATGGGCAACTTAGACATTGGCTACCTAAAATGAGGGGGTGATAAAGACACGACGTGAGTGGCTTACAAGAGGGAGTTTAAGAGTTTGGGGGAAAAGAAAGAGTCCTCACTGAATAGATCTCATCTTGTCTGGTGAAAAGAGATGTGGATAAAATTTGTAGGATTCAACAGTGAATAATTGTTATCATGACTAATTGTGACTGTCACAATTGTAAAGGTAGAAATTTTGTAACAAAAAAGGGGGAGTAGTTCATGTTATAGTCCAGAAACAGATGACCCTAGGACCATCAAGGGAAAAGCAGAATGCAGGACCTTTTCCAGAAAAGCAGTGTTGCCACAGATAGGGTCATAGAGAAGTAGAACAGCTGAGAACTCTAGATTTATGGGAAGCGAGGGACTAAGAGCTGGTGGCTGGG